TGAGTTTGTTTATAAGTTAAGGAACTTAATTTTTAATAAACAAATTTTTACGAGCGTTTATTATAAACAGATACGATTCAAATTATTAAATGTACTTATATTATTTTAGTTGAGTATTTTTTCAAGTTAGCACGATTAAAGTTTTGTGTAGAAGTATTTGTTTTTTGTTTTAAGAATAATTAACAAAGAGATTGCATAAGACTTTTATATTTAATTTTTTTTTTTTAATTTCCTAAAATTTAAAAAAAAAAAAGATTTAATTGTTTAAAACGATTTTTCTATATAGCTCTGTTTCTTTGTAATTTGTTTAAAATGTAAAACATTTTTACAATAACATAAAAAATTTATGAATTAAATTCCTGGCGAACGCGTTCTAAACTATGTATCAAAAATATGCTCAAAGCAGACAAAACTTTTTTATATTTTTATACAACGCAAGTTGAAACGCCAAGTAAGATAAATTTAAAAAAAATTTAAAAACCTAAATTATGCTTTGCTAGTCAAAACAAAATATGCTGTTTAAATAATTAACATGGGTTTTTGTTTATCAATGTTAATATTTTTTGTTTACTCCAGAAATTTTTAAAAATAAAAAAAATCATTATTATTTTTTATTCAATAACGATTTATAAACAATAATCATTCAAAAACAAATTTCAGAAATGATTAAAATATATATCTATATATATATATATATATATATTTTTTACTAAATAATATTGAACTAAAATTAATAATAAAATAACAATTGAAAACATTACAAACTTTTCATAATAAATTTACATTTAAAACGTTTATAGTTATTTGAGTTAATTGTTAAATTGAACTAGTTAGCGGTGATTTATTTATTGAGGTAGTTAAAACACTTAACGTCTGTGAAAAAAAAAAATAATTTCATGACGTCAAAATCGCGTTAAGCTAATGCATTAAGCACTTTTTTATTTAAAACAAGGCCTGATATGTATATATATATATATATATATATATATATATATATATATATATATATATATATATATATATATATATATATATATATATATATATATATATATATATATAGTGATGCTATTTTGTGCATATACTATCAAGAAAGTGCTTGATGAACTAAGTCAGAGCTATAATATATATAAAGTAGAAAATAAAAACTACGTGATTTAAGTTGATAAATTGTGAAAATCACGTAGTTTTTGTTTTTTACAATTTTTTTTTAATTTTTAGTTATTTATTTTAATTAGGCTTCTCTTTAACTATTTCTTTGGATTCGGTCAACTCCAAGACGAGTTGACCCAAAAAGTGCCCAAAAACCTTTGATTGGGTGACACTCCAGTATGGCTAGCGTATTGTCAACTTTTTTGACAAAATTGATGTTATGAGTTTCATAGTAGTTGGTTACAGTTTTGGCATAATGCGTTGAGGCCAGGTCTGGCCAAAATACATAATTACCATCGGCATGATGAGTGTTGATGAATGTCACTAATCTTCCCTTAATGCAATCCATTTTGTAGATGGTTTTATTGACTGCATGGCTTTATTGACTGCAAGGCAAGAAAAATGGCTTGGAAATTTTTTATTGGAAAAAAGAATTATAATTTTTAAAGTAAGTATATTAATTTCATACTTATACATGTGTTTAGCATATTTGGATAAATGGTTGTCTGAACAATAACAACAAGATATTTATTTTCCTCAAAATTTACAAGAAGAAGAAGAAGAGGAAGAAGAAGTAACAGCAAAAATAATGTTTATAATAATTATAATAATAATAGTTATAATAAAAATAGCAGTAATAAAAATAATAAATAATAATGTCAAAAACAATAAGGTTTCTTTAAAAGTAGTAAGAAGAAAAAGAAAATTAAGAAAACTAAAAAAAGTTAATATTAACAAAAAATTAAAATAAATTTTTTTTTTTTTAGAGTTTGTTTAAGTTTATTTTGTTTTAAATAAAGATATGAAGATAAATTATTTTGATGTTTTAATTTTTCAAACTCATTCACAATGCACACAAAACTTTGATTCCATTCACTGATGCACTGATGTGAACTATGAAGATTTGGATGTTTAAATCTTTTTATAGCTAAGGCTTGAATTGATGCTTGTGACTTTAAATACTAATTTTTTTGAGTGACAATCTAACAAAAATGTTGTTTGAGAAATAAATGCTTTAAAACTGGAGTTAACATCACTTTTATTGGTAATGTCATTCTAGTCGACTTTTAATAATTCAGATTTAAATGATTCTTTATCATAGTTTTTTTAAAATTCCTGTGGTATAAATTATGACTGCGTGGTATAAATAGTTTGTTGAAATTAGGACAAATAAAAAATTGAGGTAGTTGAACAGAAATAAAAGTTGTTAGGTTTCCTGAAATAATTTGGTTAGTGATTATGTTTAAAAAGATATTGTCAATATTGTAGCAGAATGGCCAGTAACTCTTGTTGGTAGCGTAATAAATAGATGAATATTACAAGAAGTAAGTTTAAAAACTCAGAAGTTGCAGAGTCAGATATTGAGTGTATCAGATCCATGTTAAAATCGCCATCAGGTCCATGTTAAAATGTTAAAATAAAAGTAGAAGGACAGATTTATTTTCAATAGATGTTTTTTGAGAAGGACAGACATTTTAATATTGAAGTTATTTACATCCATGCTAGGGTGTCTATATATGCAAGCAGCAATAACATTTGATTTTTTGGGGAAAATTGTTTCAAAAAAAGTAGATTCTAAATAGTTTGGTGTGTTTATAATCAAATTATCTTTTATTTTATAAATTAGTTTTTTTGATAAATATAACAAGGCTCCACAACAAGAAGATTCAGTTGGTGTGGCTCAAAATTATATTTTTGAATAATTATTGGTTGTGTCGAATCAGATTCTTTTTTTAACCTTCTGTAATTCCATTAGTACTAATTTTAAAACTAATTAATGATAATATGTTCAAATCTTCAAAGTGCTTTTGTAAAGAGGGTATGATTAAATGGAAAAATAACATAGAGTTTATGATGTCAAAGTTAAGAAAACAATTTTTAATAATGTCATAATATTCACAATCTACATCAAAAGATAAATAGTTTTCGTTGTTAGAAACTGAATCATGAAATGTAATAAATTTATTAAATTGAGTATAGATTTTTATTCGATCCCGATGCTGGAAAGAGTTTAGTTGATAAAGGCAAGACATCAGTTATAATAATCTTATTTAAAGAGAAGAATAGTTTAAATTCATTATCAGATACATCATTCAATGGAGAGACACCTTTAGTACAATTTACACACAGCCATGTTTAGTGTTTTGATTGTGTTAAATTGTACCCATGATCATAAAACCTGCTACAATTTCTATGAGTCCAAAACAAACATACATCACATTGAATTGTACGGCAGCTTATACTAACTTTTTTTGTGCATATAGTGTATACTCCCCAAAAATTAGAGGTCATAGTAAAACTAATGGGAAAGATAAAAGAAGAAAATTTGTCAAATTTAGAAGAAAGCTTGAGATTGTTAAGTTTTAATGAAAAAAAAAAGAAAATAATAACAACACAGTTACAGCAATAACAGTATTAATACTTGCCATAAATTAGGCACTTATAATAATAAAACAATAGAATAATAAATATATATTGCTAACCAAAAATAAGAATATATTACTAATTGTAAAGTAAATAAGAAAATACAAATTTTTTTTTATTAAAATTATGTCTAATATTATAAATGTATTATAAACGAAAACAGTATTAGCTTAAAACAAAAATAAATAAAAGTAAAAATAATATATTAATAACTAAATTAAGTATAATAGTAAAATATTTAACAATAATATATATATATATATATATATATATATATATATATATATATATATATATATATATATATATATATATATATATATATTTAAACAATTTTAAACAATGTTCTTAAAAGAACAGAGCAATAATAAAGTAGTAGAAAATCACTTAGCAAAACTTTTTTTCATTTAACACTGTGTTTCATCAATAAAGACTCATCAGAAAATTGATTTCTGATAAGTATATATATATATATATATATATATATATATATATATATATATATATATATATATATATATATATATATATATATATATATATATATATATATATATATATATATATATATATATATTTGTAAACATACCACTGCTTTACTCTCCTGTATGGATTATTATAGAAAAGTTTCCGAGATCTTGAAAAATGCTTAATGATAAAACAAATTTTTTAAAAATTTAAATAAAGAAAATTACTTTATATGTTTTATTTATATTTATTATTTATTTTCGAAATATTTTCTTTTTATACTTAGTAATACTGTTCTATTATTTTAACCAAATTTGTCTAATATCTTTGAGAATAAGGGTTTAACACTATTTGTTTACCTGGTCAATTTATCTGGTCTGATTCCAGCAACGCCCAATCAGTTAATATTTTAATTTACTCAACTATTATCTTAAGTATTATTTTTTTGAGAATAATTTAAACAGCTTAAAATATTGTATACTTTATAAATTTGAATATTTTACTGTATTAACTATTATATTTTATAATAATTAATACCGTATTATTTATAATAACAATAGTATATATGTATATGTAGTACAATCTCTCTTATTCAAAATCTATGGGGAAAAATAAAATTTTGAATTAAAGAGATTTTTGAATTATAGAAAGTTTATTTTTTATGGTGACGTAGTATTTGATATATATATATGTGCGTGTGTGTATATTTATGTATGTATATATATATATATATATATATATATATATATATGTATATATATATATATATATATATATATTTATATATATATATATATATATATATATATATATAAATATATATATATATATATATATATATATAAATATATATATATATATATATATATATATATATATATATATATATATATATATACTGTATTTATATATACTATATATAGTATAAATATTTATATATTTTTTTTCCAACACAGATTTGGATCAAAAGCTTGTCGTGTGTTTAGACTCCTTATTCAAAAAAGATTATTAGAACAAAAACAGGTATTTGTGGTTTTACAGGTATTGTGATTAAATTGAATATTTTTTTTATTATAAAAACTTGTACTTTTTTTTTAATATAGATTGGTGAATTGGCAATGATTCCTTTCAAAGATGTTAAAGAACTTCTATATAAACTTTTTGAAGAAAGCTTTTTGACTATTCAAGTAAGATTATCATGTGTCATTGTGTGTTATCTAATCAAACAAAATGTGTTTTTATTTAATTGTATAATTTTTTAGCATAGTGTTTATTTATTATATATAAATAGCAGTTTTGGCTCAAGAGTTGTAGTGATTCGATGCCAACTCTGGCCATAAACAGCGTGGTGAGAAAGAAATCTAAAAACTTCCTTGTTAAATGCTATTCCGCAATGTTTTGTGGCAAGACCATAAGATCTTCCTATATTACCTTTAAAAAAAACTTCCAAATACCTCTTTACATCAATTTGTCATATTTGTATCTCATTTTTTTCTTTTCCCTAGGAAGTTTCAAAAACCAAAGATTATGCACCTTCCCGGTCTTTTTATTTATTTGGTGTCGATATGCCTCAGGTTTCAAGATTACTTCTCAACCGTAGCTATCAGGTATTATCAGGTATTATTTACAAAACAAATAATAATTTTACTATTCCAACTACAAAGTTAATAAAAAGATTTTATTCACAGGCAATGGGAAATTTAATGTTGCGTAGAAAGTTTGAAATGGAAGAAAACAAGTATGTGATTTCAAAAATATATTTATAGGGATTGACACTTATCTTAAAATTTTAATTGTGTAATCTTTTTTAGTTCAAAACTTCAGTTAGTTGTTTTATTAGAAGTTTTTCTCGGTTTGGTGTGAGTTAGAGGAAAGTGGGGCAACATGGCGAACGTTTTGAAAGCCCTGAGTTATTTAAAAACTATAAGTCGTGAAGCCATAATACTTTCTCAGTATGTTTATGCTATTAAGTTCTTTCATTGCCTGCATGAATTTTCAGTTTGCAAATATAACAATTTGAAATAAATATTAAAATAAAAAGTTTATAAATTTGTCATCTGGTCACGTGACCGGGGCAAGATGACTTATGCAATTTTTACCTCCAATTTTATAAAATTTTAAAAACTGCTAATAACTCTAATTAAAGTAACAAAAAATAAACACAAATTGCTAAAACTACTTCTAAAGAAGTTAAACTTGAAGGACACCAACCATTATGAGAAACCGAAAGTGAGGAATTTTTTTTTAAGCGCAAAAAGTAAACATATTTGTATAAAATGGCGTTAATAATATTTCAAAAAACCAATTGGTGTTTTAAAATACAAGATGCAAATGCATTGTTATATGAAAACCCATCTTGCCCCATTCGCCATGTTGCCCCGATTTCCCCTATATCAAATTATAAGTTTGATGACAATTAGGGTATGAAAGAAAACGGAACTATAAGAGCGTTGAACTTTAAAATCTTTATTTAGATTATGGTCTTTAACATCTTAATTTAGATTATGATTTTTAAAATTTGATGTATTTTACTATGATTTTTCCTTCTTTTTAAAAATGATACTTTGATGTTTATGATATTTTAAAAAATGGTCTTTTTTGAATTCAAATTGTTTTTTTAAGATATCCCTCCGATCTATGTTATAAATTTCTTTTAATTTTATATAATAAATATACAATAAAATAATAAAATATATGAGCAAGATAACTTGTTTTCAATAGTTCTTTACGTTGAATTCAAATCAGAGCAGCATTTCGGAACACGGAGGGAGTATTATTTTACGTTTTGTTATTGGAATTCATCAGAAGGGCCGTCGCGAAGAAGTTTTAAAGGAAGGAAGAGAAGTGGAAAATAGGAGTTTTGTCGACTATGAGCAAAAAAATTTGTTTTAGCGACACCAGAATCAAGTCTTTAAAAAAAAAAAAAAGGTCCTCGTTGGCTGACATGCCTACTGCCAACAATCTTTCCAATTTTGCAAAATATTCAAATTTGCCGACTAATTATTGAATAAATTTTTCAAGGGGGAGGGTTTTAAATACGTTCCCGTTCATAAGGAAGTCTTTTCACCTTTTTGACTCCTCACATCCACTGTATTATATTTTTATAGGCGTTTACTTGAAAAAGATGAAAAAATTGAAGGTATCTTAGCAGCGCTTTCAACATCAAACGAACAGACTGAGCAAGTTATCCAAGAACTGGAAGAGTTAATAACACCGACTGAAAAAGAGCAGTTAGCTAAACTAAAGTTAGATTTAGCAAGGTAATAGATAATATGCTGTCATTTAATTAAATTTATTAAAGATTTCTAGGAAAAATCTTTTTCCCAGAAATCTTTAATAAATTATAAATTATATAACTTTAATATATTTATATATATATATATATATATATATATATATATATATATATATATATATATATATATATATATATATATATATATATATATATATATATATCAAGCCTTCGCAGGAAAGGCGTGTGGTTTTTCGTCTCGTATGACCACACGTGATTATAATATTTTAGAAAACGTGAACACGGCCGTTTGCAAGTTTCATAATAATGCTGAAAAAGTTTCAAAAACAAAAAAACAAAACTAACAAAATAAAAAGAGATTGAAATAGAAAAAAATAAAAAACAAATTAATAATTTAAATAATTTGTGTACTGTTATTATCATATCACATTTAAATAATTTGTGTATTGTTTCTTTAGAGTTAAGGCGAGTTTCCACTCATCCGTTTTTCAACGGGAAAGGAAAAAATAATCACGTGAGCATGCGTAATAAAAGTTTTTATTTGTCTGAAAGAAAACTGCGCATGCTCACGTGATTATTTTTCCGTTCCCTTTCCCTTTCCCGTAGAAAAACGGATGAGTGGAAACTCACCTTTAATTAACGCGCTTTTTTATAACGTTTTTTATGTAAAAGTTTTTTATGTAAAAGTTTCTGAAATTTTTAATAATATTTGAATATCCGCTTTATTTTTTCTAGATCCTTTTTACTTTAATAAATGTTTGGAATTAATAATGTTGTTTGAACAAAGAATAAAATTTAAAAGTAATAAGTGCTTTATAAATGTAATAACACTATTATAGTTTTATTACTTTTATAATGCAGTTAGTGACTAAAGTGTTATTACTTTTGTAGTCTTAAGTTAATTGTTTTTGTTTTGTTTTTTGTAACTTTCTCGCTAGCAAACTTTTAATAATTTGCTCCTTATAAACTAAGTACACAACTTTGCATGAACTAAAATTTTAAAGACCTAATATTTTACCAGAGTTTGCAAATCGCGATCGTATAATTAACTCTTGATATAAACTTGTTACATTATAATTATACATATATATTTTACAAACAGATGACAATACATATTTTCTCTTTCCTCTTTAATAGAAAAAACACATAAAATATGGGAAAGTCATCCTTTTAAACGCTTAAAACAGTTTTTTTTTTTTTTTTTTTGTGATTTGACTTAATGATTTTTGTTGCCGATAATAATAACCACTAAGAAAAAACAAAAATAAAAACAACACACTAATTATTTAAACTATTATTATTGTTTTCTATTTAAGTTCACTTCAATTTCTTAAGTAGTTATTAAATTGAAAACAATTTTTCAGTAACGCATATAATATAACTTGCGCAAACGGCCGTGATCACGTTTTTTAACTTGAAAAACGTTTTCGTAGTCGTACGAGAAAAAAAACCGCACGCCTTTCCTGGAAAGGCTTGATATATATATATATATATATATATATATATATATATATATATATATATATATATATATATATATATATATATATATATATATATATATATATATATATATATATATATATATATATATATATATATATATATATATATATATATATATATATAGACACACACACACACACACACACACACACACACACACACACACACACACACACACACACACACACACACATATATATATATTTATTTATTTATTTATATACTGTATCAGACAAAACAAGTGCAACCAAAAAATGCTAATTTAGTTTCTTGATGTAAAAGTGATGCATTTTTTAAATTTAGAGAAATAACTATGTAACTGTTTAGAGACAACGTTCTTCAAGTTTTATTCATCACATAGTTCATTATTTGTACACAAAAATTATTAAATTAATTAAAAGTATTAAAAAAAAGTTGATTTCCTTCTGGACAAAACAAGTGCAACTCCACAAAATGTTGACCAATCTGTATTTCGCTATCAATATTTCGTGGCGAATCCTTTGTTGTCGATCACAGCCTTGCATCTTCGAGGCACAGGTTCGATCAGGTGGTCAATGAAACTTTGTGGAATCGTTGCCCAGACCTTTTGGATTTGTTCAAACAGTTGATCCTTATTACACAACTAATTCTGCGGTTGGCGATCTCCCACAGGTTCTCGATAGGGTTGAGATCCGGAGATTGAGGCGGTTAATCCATCACCGATAGGTGGTTGTCTTGAAATCACTGCTTGACTACTTTTGCATAGTGTTTCGGATCGCTGTCTTGCTAAAAACCCCATTTTATTGGCATATTCCATTCAGCATGAGGTAGCATAACATCTTTCAGGATATTTTTATACATGAAACGGTCCATTATTCCATCGATTCGATGTATTGGACCTAGACCGTTAGCAGAAAAACACCCCCAGACCATTACATTGCCTCCACCATGCTTCACGGTTTTATGGCAGTAACGTAAATCGAGGCGTTTTCCGGCCGGTCAACGTACACGGCAAATGCCATTGTTCCCAATGATGTTGAACTTCGATTCATCACTGAACAGGACAGTTCGCTATTTCTGCACGTTCCCGTCAATATGAGATGTAGCAAACAGGAGTCTTTTCTTCTGGTTTTTTAATAAAATCAGCGGTTTTTTTGCAGGGCGTCAAGAAAACAATCCGGCTTCGACAGCACGTCGTATGATTGTTCGGTCCGATACAGGCAGCTCTAATTGCTTTTGTATCTCGACTGATGATATCCAGGGATCCTTCTTGACGGATCTGGCAATCATAGAATCCTTTCTAGAAGTGGTGGAACGCAGTCTTCCACCTTTGTTATCTGCTGCCAACTTCCCCGTAGAACGATATTTGGAACATAGTCTTGATACGTCCATTTTTTCACACGATATTTATCACAAATACTTTTTTGTGACATTCCACTTACGTAATCGCCAATAATTTTCTTTCTTAATTCCCCAATCCAAGATTGGGGAATTAAGAATCCAAGACTGTCGGGAGCCATTTTTGCAATTGAAGTCATAAAATAATAAAAGTTGATAATCACGTTTCTCAAGGCTTACCGTGTTACATTTACCATCTGATGATACAATAATGCTCTGTGGAACACAACGTCTTGGTTGGAAGTGGACTGTATTGATGTAATGAAACACTTGTTGTATTTCACTTCTTGTATTGATTTTCTGCAATAAAACACTTTGATAAAACTCACTTCAATAAACTGTCTTGATAATACTGACTGATTGACTTCCATATACTGACTGAATTATGTCGGTTTACATTTCTCTTATATATTAAAATGAACCTGTGTGAACCTGTTCTGGAAGATTCTAGATGCTTTTTTTTTTTATGCTTCTGGAAGCTTCTGGATGCGTCTGTATGCTTCTGAATGTTTCTGGATACTTCTGGATGCTTTCAGATGCTTCTTCTGGAAACTCCTGGACTTCTGCATGCTTCTGGAAACTTCTGGATACTTCCTGTAATTATTAAAAAACTTCCGTGACGTTGACACGGACTAGACTTAAGAAAATGAAACAAACCAAAAAAGTTGCACTTGTTTTGTCCGCTGCAAAATGGCACTTGTCAACGAAATTCTGCATGTGTGCTGTCAGCTGATTGCTCATGTTATGGCATGCAATGACTCCAAACTCCTGAACTGTTTGCTGTGGTAGTATAGTTCGTTTCGTTTTTAAGACATGTAAAATTAGGAACACTTTTTAGCATTGTTCGATGTTGGTTGCAAATGTTTTGTCCATTACTGTATATATATATATATATATATATATATATATATATATATATATATATATATATATATATATATATATATATATATATATATATATATATATATATATATATATATATTATATATATATATATATATATATATATATATATATATATATATATATATATATATATATATATATATATATATATATATATATATATATAATTTCATTACTCAATTGGTATTTATGATTAGGTTAGAACAAGGTGAAATTCAATTGGCGGAAACTATTTGTGTGCTACAAAGTTATGTTCGTTTTCATTAAACTTTTCCATCTCGTCAACATGATCTGAATCTAAGGTCATCACTTCCAAAGCTGTATCAAGATACCAAACATGATTCTTCCAAGACTTCAAAATTATATTAGCAGCAGGTTCAGTTTTAACATAATGGGACATTTGCCAATAAAACCTCTGATCTTAAAATTTATTTTCAAGTAAAACTTGTGTTTAGTATAAACTTTAATGAAATTCCAGGCAACATTTAATACAGCATTCAATTGTTCAATATGGAATATTTATTACTCTTAAAAATTAAGGAACATATTTACCATAAAAGCAGCAGAAACAAAAAATTCACAGGTGAAAAACCACCTAAAGCGCAGGAAACTAAAGATAAAAGAGCTTTAGACAAGTGTTTTTCTCTAAAAAACAGATAGTGCTGGATCACATGCTTTCTTAAGGGTAACTGGTTGCTTTCCATATTCTGCAGAGTGCTTCCTACCAAAAATATTTCTTTTTTTCGTGTAGATTTTATAGGGATTTTAGCTTTCGAAGGTTGCTTTTATGTAGGTGTTTGAGTTGAAACTCTCTCTTCTCCTTGAACTTAATTTTATTTCATTATAAACTTATGAAAAAGCTATAAACAATAAAATAGTAGTTAAACATAACTTTTTAATATTACATTGCATAAATAAAATTAGAATTACAAAAAATGGAAAAACGTTAGAATTATCTTGTTCTATCTCTTATTTTTGAGTTTTGAGATATAACGATTTAAAAAATAAAAACATTAGACGATGGTATATAAACGTTTTTTTATAACTTATGTTTTCTCCGCAACCTATTTATTTACAACTTACATTATTCTGAGGTACATAACAAAACTCAGTAACTCAATTTTTTCAAAAAGAGGAGATATAACAAGATAATTCTAACGTCGATTTGTAGACCTCCTCTTCCCCTCCGAGCGTACGTAGTCTAATAACACGATTTTTTTTTTAATTTAAAACAAATGGCGGGAGCATATGTCATTATGTTAAAAAAAAAAGTTTCTTTTTACAAAACCATTTTAATTTATCAAATGCATTTACTTTTTAATTAGTGACCTGAAAATGTTAAAGTGATAACAAAAGTAGTCTAGGCTAGTGTGCTTTTATTAGAAAGAGACTTATAATAATAATTTCTTATGGTAGCGGGTCGTCAAAGCAAATTGAAAAATTTTTTTTTTTATCAAAACAACCTGGTTTTTATCTTAGTTTTTAAGCGTTGCACAGTGCCTCAAAGAGGTCAGAAAACGGTCAAAACGATTTATCTAACAAAAAACAACATACTATACATGTTTTTATGGGTCAGAGAATTTATTTTTGAGATTAAAAATTTGACCACTCTGATAGGTATGCTACTTGATACATATTTGGATAGAATTTGTCAATTATTTTTTTTAATAATAAAAACGGGAGAAAAGCTCATTTTAATGAAGAATTTTATGGGGATATCGGATCTGCAAAAAAAAAAAATTTAGAGATATTTTTTTTAGTTAAAAAACAAAAATAATGACTGCAAAAACTAAATTTTTGCGGTTGTTTTCATAAAAATTAGGAAGTTTGTTGTAATTTTAAACAGGGAATTTGACAGAAGATGTTTAACGGTTTTACACGTATTTAAAATAAAGGGAGTTCAGCTTTGTGTTCTGTGACAAGACCGTTAGGTCTTCATGGGGCACCTAAATAACAAAAAAAAAAAAAAAAAAAAAAGCTTTGCTAAAAACTTTATAAGGATTTCGAATCCAAAAATTTCGAAAAAAAGATCCAAAAAAAGTCTTGCTTTGAGAATCCACCTTTTTATAAAGAAAAATTTACCAAAATACTACTAATTAGGAGAAACAATTATAATTTAAAAAATTTTTTATTTGATTAAGTTTTCTATATTTAATATGTAGTATGTTGAATTTTTATAAAACATAGTTTTTATTTAGTTTAAAAATTCCCGCACCAAATATCAATTAAAGGGGTTAGAGGTTAGAAAATTCTTTTAAAATACCAAAATAAGGAGGTCTTAGGAAAAATATTAGATAAGCTTTTCTTACATCACTAAACGCTTTGCGAACACAAACTTATTTTCCAAATAAATAAGACATTTGTTTTCAGGCAAAGATAGAGCTTCAGCTTTCTTCATACACAGTTGAGGCGGGACAGATACAATATATAGATTTAAACCTGTCTTTTGAGAATCTTGGTATTCGGTCTCCATGTGGCAATCAACTTTAATTGGAGGACAATAAACCACAATACGAAAAGTACTTCATATTAACAATAAATTTAGATCTTCAAATATTGTAAATAAAATAAAATTTAGCCTTAAATACATTATGACACACTTTTTAAGACAACTTAATAAGGTGCAAATGTGTGCTCAATAAGGTGTTTAATAGTGTGCAGTTAAAATTTTGCATATTCATTTTCTATACTAATAGTGAAGTGTTGATACAAAAATTAAGGTGGTACCTTGTAGAACATTTTTTGTAGGCTACTTTTTGTGAATATAGTTTTTTCAATTTTTTAAAATCCGCTAAAAAAACAGTTCCTATTTTTAAAACTGTTTTTTGTAAGGATATTAGTGTTTTAAAAGTATTTTCCATATTTTAAGAGTTAAAATAACATGACTAAATAATTTTGCATTTATTTTAAGGAAATTGCATTTAATTTAATTTAATTGGTCTAAAAACTTATGTTAAAAACACGTTAAAATGTCCACAAAACTCGCTTCTAATTTAAAAAGTGTTTTTATTGCTGTAAAAAAAGTTAAATAAATTCAAAATGTTTAATTTTTAAAATAATTTTTTTATCAAAACAATAACTCTTAAGTTTTAAGAGATTTAAAAATTTTTAAGCTAAAAAATTACTTTTTATTAAATGTATTTTTAGCCACTTTTTAAGGTTTCTGAGGCACTGTGCTTTGCATTAAATTAAATTTTAATGATAATTTTAAATTAGTAAAAATTTTAATAAAAATCACAATATTTTTTATTCTTGTCATGTTTCGTAGTCTTACTACATTTTCAAAAGATTTAATTTACAATTAAAACTCTGGTTAAATAAATTTAAAAACTGAAGACAATACAGAGAAAAAATTAACGGACAAATAAACTTGTTACAAACCAATTAAAAATTATATTACAAATTATGACAAAATGAACTTCCTAATATTCAAATATTAATAATAATAATAATAATAATAATAGTAATAATATAGTAAGTTAGATAGATAAATTTATAATATATGAGATGTTTGTTTATTTAAAGAAGGATTTTCCCATTTAATATGAATTTTTTTTTTTTTTTTTTTTTTTTTTGTTCTTTATTACAATATTTAATACAATATTTACAAATATATAATAAGAAAAATTTACATGCAAAAAAATCGTTACAAAAAAATAAAGAATTAAGATAAAGAACGCGGATACTCAAAGAAGACCATACAAGTCTTGTCACCGAGAACCGCTGTTGAAGAACTTTGATCTTAGTTTAGATTTTAGGAAAAACAAAAATAAATAAACACAAGTTTTTAACTTTTTTAAGTTATGGTCTTTATGGCTGGAATTAAAGTACTAATTCTTCTGAACCGGATGATTCAAGCGAAAACAATAATATCATAGTATTCTTAATAAATAAATACGTCTCGCATCTGATTCGATCACTGATTCTTGTTACTCAAATCTATCAGTTACACTGATCTTAATTGTTAATTAATTAATAAATAAACGAAAATAATAAGAATATGATTGCACTAGGTACATCCAAATGCACTTCAAGATTGTCCAAAAGATTGTGTAGAAGAATTTAGATAGCCAAATAATGGTGTCATTGTGTGAGAAGCCAAAATTATCAAATGTTGGTGCATTTACGTTAACGCTTTCGCCGACAAAAATGCTAAACTACTGTCAAAGGATGATTAACTTCCAAAAGTATCATACATATAATGTTTGCAAATACATCCAGTCACATACATCAAGTTTTTTTTTTTTTTTTTTTTTTGTATTTTTTTTTGTTTTTGTTTTTTTAATAATAATAATATATATATATATATATATATATATATATATATATATATATATATATATATATATATATATATTTTATTACAAAATTAAATTCAATATTAAAAGTATATACCGTTCGTAATACAAATTATTTACAAAATTACGAAATAAAATAAAAATTAAAGTAAACAAGTAAATAATAAATGCCTACTGTACAAATAATGTCAGTGGAACTTTTAACAAAATTCAAATAATGATGTTTAACTACAGTTTCTGACATAAACTTTAAATCTAAAAGTATAAAAGTAAAATATAAATGAGCGTTGACAAAACTGGGTAAAATTAAAAGTATATAAATATATTATCAATTGAGAATATTACTTTTTTTAGTTTTCGTTTGAACATATAATAATTCCATTCATGAGAAAAATCAAAATTTTTTAAAATTATTTGGTTCCATAAAAAAGCTCCACGAAAAGAAATGCAAAATTTACCAAAGTTTGTTTGAAATTTTGGTTGTTAAATAAAATTATCATTTTTTAAAGAAAATTTGTTTTTTTCTTTTAAAGAATATAAATCAAAAAAGGAAGCTGGAGAAGAGTTGGTTTTACATTTAAACATAAAACAAAGAACATTATAAACATTTACTTGATATATATTAAAAACATTCATGTTAAATAAAAGTGACCTTGAGTGAGTAAAACGATTTTTGAAATTTATAATACGTGCAATATGCTTCTGCTGACAATAAAGTGGCTTTAATTTACTTTTATGGGTACTACCCCATGCAATATTAGCATAATTAATATGACAGTGTATGAAAGAGTAATATAGTTGAGTTAGTGAATGTTTGTTTAAAACGCTTCTTGCTTTATATAAAACTCCAATGCTTTTTGCAATTTTGTTGCATAAATGTCCGATGTGATTCTTCCATGATAGATTTTCATCAACAATGATACCTAGAAAATTTGTGAAAACTACTCTTTTTATTTGAATATTATCAATATGAAGAAGAGGCATATTACTTGGAAGTAAATGTTTTTTAAATCGTGGATGAAAGAAAATCCATTTAGTTTTATCAATGTTGAGTGAAAGTTTATTTAACTTAAACTAGTCAGATATTTTTATTAGTTCAATGTTCATATCATAAAAAAGTTTGTCGATGTTATTATTTGATAGGAATAGGTTTGTATCATCAGCAAACATTATAGTTGTTAATTTTGAGACTTCATGGAGATCGTTAACAT